TGATTCCCGGGGTCTGTCTGCATGGATGTTGCAAGTGGGTTTTCTCCAGGTACCCTGGCTTCCTCCCACAGTCCAAAAACAAGGCTGTTGGGTTAATTGGCTCCTTTAAATTGGTCTTTATTTGTGACTGTGTGTGTGCATGGTTGTTTGTCTCTTTGTTGCCCTGTGACACACTGGCTATCTCTCCAGGGCGTAGCCTGCTTAACGCCCATAGCCTGCCGGTGGCAGCCACTGACCCCACTGCGACCCCGACTGAATTAGCAGAAGATGCACGGATAATCTTGAATGTAAGAGATGTTCAGCTGGAACCTAACATTGTTTGAGGGCATGCATAGAAAAACTGGCCTTGCATTGATAACATCTGCAACAACTACGTTACTGGTTAGGAAACCCCAAATGTTTTTGTTTACTTTTTTATTGTATTTATGTTTTATATTTCTGTTCCCATGAGTTTATCCACATAGACGCCATGACTTTCAGCTGAAGTGGAGTCCTTGGGTTCATGATAAAGAACTGGTCTAGAATTTGAACTAGGTCAGTGATGTGTGGGGGGCACTGTAATATGAGACATGTCGGACCAAGTTAACTTCTAGGTCAGAAAAAAAAGCTGCAGCTGTCTGAGAAACAGTTTCCACTTTTCTTTATCTTTTCAGTGTAATCCCTGATAAATATATAATATAGATACTGATAAATACAACTACTATAAAGTTGATGATGCAGTAATGAGAAAATGTCTGCACTAAAGAAGCCTGGTTTATAAGATGTAAAGATTATATCATTTGAAATTTTTGGATATATGTTCTATATAATTTTACATTCACTGCACACATTAACTAAAAATCAAACCCTGCTGGTACCAAACATAGAAACATAATCATCAGAACAACAAACTGGGTGCTCATGTGCTGATGTATTAAGAATGCTCTGATGCACCACAAGACAATTAAGTGGAAGGTGGAGAAGAGCTGGCATCAAAAAAGGAGATATAGGACTATGACAGCATGTTTCTACTTTCTTTCGAATTAAAGAGAAATATCAAAATATGAAAGACTAGTGGCTTAATTACCTTCTCAGCAGATTATCAAGTTCTATAAAGTTCTGGTGATGGTCTACTCCACTGATAATGATTATTTTAAGGTAAAACCTGGCAAAGATGGCCCTTACCGCCTTATAGGGCACTCAGTGAAATACCATCATAATAAAAAATTTAACTTTAGAGTGTTATTGGAGGACAGGAAAAGACCCAGTTACTTAACATTTAAACATTATGTATATGTTGATACAACAAGGTTAATTTTATATCCAAAAACTGTAACTTGCATTAATATGTTTAAAACAAATACAAGATGAACCATCACAGAATGAAAGATTTTTTTGTTACAACATAACATTTGAACATTAATGCTGATGCATGGACTTACATTCTTTACCTTTTAACTTTACTTTTGAACTTTTTCATTCAACTTTTTACCTTTTTTAACTCAACTTATTAACTTTTTCAGTTTAATTTACAGTAGTTAAGGTATCATCTCCAAAAAAATTAGAACTTGCCTTATAAAGGGTAAAGAACTGCAGTTCTAGACCCCTGAGTTTGATACAGTATGATTAGGTTGCCCCCTGCTGGCCAGCTGTGAACACTGCATAGGATTAAATCTACAGTAGAGTTAACCTGTGATTACCTGTGCATCGCAGGTCACTTGGGAAGTCTTCTTATTCACACATTAAAGCCAAATATGATCAGAGTTCCCACATCATGTTTTGCATTTCTAATTTATTTGATTGACATCTTTGAAAAGCAGTTACTAACTGGTATTTTACACAAATATGTTAAACATGTTATTTTTCAACAAGTTTATCAAAATTAACTGGATTCTCTTTCAAATTTTAAAGATATTCTGGAGACCAAATTGACCCAGATTCCTGCACTGCAACTTCTCTTATATCCAACACCCTCAAAGCTGGTTGTTACATTTTATTTATGTCTTGGCACCACACATTGTTCTGATCAAGCTCAGAGGCAACTCTGCTGTCTTGTAATGAGCTCGCTCTCGTGCTAAAGGGCTGCACAGTCTTGATGTTTTACCCATAGGTTTTATTAAGGTTTTACCTGTTTTGAGTCTGATTTGATTGAATTCATAATCAAATCTCTTATGTCAGGTGTTTTTCCCAAGGCCTTAAAACCAGTAATAATCAAACCATTGTTGTAAATAAGAAGCTTGGACTTATTGGACCTGCAGAACTACAAACTGATCTCAAACCGCCCCTTCATCAGTTAAATTACTGAAAAAGTTGAGTTTCAACGGTTAAATGCCTTCTTAGCAATGACAAAGTGGCAACCACACCATAGGGACGGCCCTGATTAAGGTGTTCATTGACATCTGTGTAAATTCAGACTCTGGAAGAAGCAGAGTGTTGGTATTACTGGACATCAGTGCAGCGTTTGATACTGTTGTGGACAATATGTGGATGCACCATAATTTTCTACAACTGAATAAAAACTCATACAGTATGAAAATATTAAAAACAAAATGGAGGTAATAATCCTCAGACCAAAGGAGGACAGAGCCAAAGTTAGCTCACAGCTTCAGCTACTACAGTTAGAAACCACTGATTATGGCTGAAATCTTGGTCTAATGATGGAGTTTTATCACCTGAAGATAATTTCTAGGATTAAAGGACTAATCTCCAAGCAGGATCTAGAAAAACTCATTCATACATTTATCTTTAGTAGAATCAATTGTTGCAGCAGCGTCTTCACACGTTTGCCAAAAAAGTCCATCAGACAGCTGCAGCTGATCCAAACCATTTATAATCTTTTTATCTTTACTCGCTTCTTTACCTTCTATTCTACTGTTTAATTCACGCAAAACACTTTGAACTGTCTTGTCTACTAAATTGTGTGATAAATAAACTTGACCTTAATCCATCGTGGTGTTTCTAAGGTAACAGAAAGCAATGCAGGAACTGTTGAATATGGTCAAAATGTCCTGAAACTGAAAATGTCCTGAAGAAGATCAACTCCATGCATGGTGTTCTTACAACCAGTGATAGCACATCCAATAAGTTGGCCATTTCACAGTTTAGCCACGCCATCAAGTAACTTTCACTTTATTTCAGTAAATGTTTAATTTTGCAAAGAAAAATGCTCACTCATTTCATACCCAGCATTCTTGTGTTGTTTTGAGCACCATGTTGCTGGAGAAACCTGCTGAGTAGTGTAAGAGTCAGAGACCGGTTCCTCAGGTGATTCCCTGAAAAAGCACTGTCTTTACTCCTTGGGCAAAAACAAAGCAAAGAATTTATCCTAAAAACAAACATCCAGTCTGTGAAAAGTGTCCTAGAAAAGTTTCTGCTGTTATTGGCAGAACCTTTTCTAGGTAGTTGTAGATGAATGGTGACCTGAAATAAGATAAATAATTTAAACTTTGAATGTGTACGACCTGAGACTTGGAGCTGTAGAGCATTGATAACAGCGTTCTTAAGAAGTAATGATTTATAAAGTATAAACACATGTGAAACTATGGGTATAAATGACGTTTAATCAAAAGATTTCACAGAATTAAAACCTTCATATAATGACATCATTGCAATTTCAGTTGGCCTTTCAGCGACAACATAAAAAAATACAACATTAAATTAAATATATATACAGTGATTATGAAAAAAGTCAAATTTATCCAAATAATTTAGTCAAAGTTTTTATCTGTTAACCGTTTAAACTTTAAAAAGTTTCTTCTGTAACTGGCTTATGCTTCAAACAGGAATAGGTCTCCTTTTGAAGAAGTACGGTGGCCCTGAAGGGCCCTGAAGGGCACACAACTTCAAAACATTGTGTCATTGTTTCCGATTGTGTTGTGGGTTTTTTTCTATTTGTATTTGTTTCAAGTTAATGTCATAATGTTTTGGAAAAAGTTGTGTTTTTTTATTTATAGCTGTGTGTAACTTTTTGTGGATGTGGTTTGCACTGCACGGCCATCCTACAGAAGTCCAATTATTACCTGAAAAATGACATTATAAACTCTTATGGTTCCTATAATCACATAAAAAAATATATTATTATCATGTTGCCAATTTGTATTTTTTATTTTTTTTTGTGTGTGGATTTTTAAGAATAATGCGAAAGAAGCAGCAAAACTAAATATTGTCACAGAAATAGAACAATAACACATACAAACATGAAAAACAGCCACAAGTTGGCGTCAGTGCTTAACACTAGTAGCAAAGGATTGCACTGTAAGAGATTTTTGGTTTTCCTTATTTGTCTGAAATAATTCAGATCTTAAAACATATTTTGAAACTATACACAGAAAAACTAAGTAATTACAAAATTAAACTAAAACAGTGATCGAAATCAACCATTTTCAAAGTCGCCCCTGTTTGTTAACTGAGGTTAAACACATTTCTTTAGAATGCAGAGCTCATTTGTATTGTCAAGATTAGACCAATTTTAATTGCATGAAGAAGGTTAAAAGATCTTAAAAATCAACGGTTGTTGCCCTGAAATATAAAACCAGTTGAGTAGCAGTCAGGAGCAGTCTGCAAAGGGGCAATAAAGCAATAAAAAAAGAATATAAAAAAAACAGACACCATACAGACAGTCAGACATGGTGGTTAAAGAGTGATGATCCAGGGTTTCTGCTGCTGCTTCAGGACTTGGGCGACCTGCTGTAACCATGGAGCTCAAAGTCTGGACTTGGAGCTGAATGAGAAGCTCAACGTTTGCTTAAACAATGTGAAACACTTCTAACCAATTATGCATTAAAAAAAATATATCTTAATAAATACAATTATTTTTGAGATCCTCATTTGGAATTTCCTCAGACCATTAATATTTGATATAAAGATTAAAACTGAAACGGGACAAATACTTTTTTCACATTGCTTTGTATTGAAGCTGGAACACATTTTTACTTTTGCAACATATGCTTCCATTGAAGGCATAAAAAAAAGTTATAGTATGTAAATTAAAAGACAGTGACAGAAGTTGCTGGCTNGAGTCTCCTTATTCCCTCATTTTTGTTTTCTACCTGCAGTTTTCAGGCCACTAAAAACTCCCAGTCAGAAGCTGGTTTGAGCTCCAGAACAGATAAACATCAAACAACAATAATAAAAACAAAAAAATGGAAGCTGATCACATTTGTGTTGAATATTTGGATGATACCGGTCATCCTTATTGCACGTTTTTAAAGGTTTATCCTTCACAAGTAGTGTAAATGTTTGTTATGGTCAGCTGTGTCTTCAAAAGCATTTTGCTTTGTAAAGATGATGTTTTTCTTATGATGATATGAAAAATCCACAGCTATGAAAGGTCTTGCTCACTATCACTGGTGCTGAGTGTGAACATCAGGAAGTCAAAGCACGTTCATTCCAACTCATAGGAGCTTCTTTCCAGCGTGATCTTGATAGCATTAAAGTCCGGCCTGTCTTCTGGCTTCTCCTGCCAACATTTCAGCATGAGGTTGTAGAGAAAACTGGGGCATTTGGGTGGTGCCTCCATCCTGTATCCTTCCAAGACTTTCTTATATACTTCTTGGTTGTTAAAACCTGATGGAGAGGGAAGGAGGGTAGAGAGAAAAGGAAGGAAAAAGAATGCAGAAGTGGTGAGGATCTCTACCACAACCTTTAAAAACATCTGCTGTTTATCAGATTACATCACAGCAGCAAACATTGCAGAGAACATGAAACATGCTGTTGATGCTCAGATTAACACGGTGACATGAAGGGTTTTATTAGCTAATGCAAGTTTGCTTTATTCCTTACATTAACACTTACAACTTTGAGCTTTATTAGGTTCACTCTACCTACAACTTTACAATACATTTAAGAGATGGTGTCAACATTGTATGTAGTTAACTATGTGACCGATGAGGAAATTATAAAGTTTTTTTTTTAAGGAGGTGAGTAAAAAGTTAAAATGATCACTTAAAAACATTGTAGGTTCCTTAGCGTTCAGCAATCAGAAAATATGGTCCAATTTGGATAAAATCAAAAGGAACACCTTTATTTGTCATTGCAATTGCAGATTGCAATAAAAATATGTCTTCTAGGTTTAGCCAATTCCTTAGGAAGCAATACGCAGATTGCAGCACTTAGGGAACATTATAGGGTTAATTAGGTTAAAATTCTGCTCAGCAACTCAGAGAGACAGACTGAGGTCTGGACCGGTGATTATGCAATCTCTCAAGGTTGCAGATCCCTTTACCTTGCAAGCAAGATGAATTGTCGTGAGATTTGTGATTTCACAAATTCCTATAAATAAATCTTGCAAGAAGCCAATAGATGCATCATTCTTGATACAGAAATGTTAATAACCAATGAAATGCAGTCAGGTGTAGGAAGTGAACCAGAAAAACTGGGCAAAAGCAAAACAAACATGGCTGCACCGGTGAGACTACCTGTAGATGCCAATTAGCCTGCTTTAGCAGGAATTTTTCTTTTTCGAAAAATGTGCAAAAGAACACGATCTGTGCCTTTGTGGATGGGAAAGATATTTGTACATTCCTCCTGACTAGATTTGGTAAGAGTTTTATCAATCTCGTAACTCCGCTGTGAAACTAATCAAGAATTCTATACGTTACACCTGCTACTGCTGCTGAGAGGCTAAAATCTCAACAATGGAGGCAAGTCCAGCTTATTGAATGACCCAGTCGGCTCGAACAATGATACAGAATGCCCCTCCCTTTTGCAAACACTTTCCACAAGAGCATTCAGACTGAACTACGCATATCAATCTTTCTTACCCCAGGTTGCAAATCCACTGCTCTCATACCAGCTATGCCAGAGATATACCAATAAATCAGACAGATCGTAGCGTTGACAGTCTTTTCCTTGACTCACTTTGATCAGTGATCATCAGGTCAAACTCAAATTAGTTTGGAACTTCTTCTCTACAAACTCTAAACCAAGGAAGTTCTGGAAACCAGGAGCCACATGAGTGAAAACTGTTCATGAGGACTGAAGTCAGGGGTTTTTATTGTTTAAATCTTTCTTGGATGTGCCATGTTCAACATGACTGAGAACCTTCATCAGCATTTTAACTTAAACTGCAAACACATCACCCAACAGCAAGTTTAATCTCTTTGTGCTTAATTATCCATCCATCCATTTTCCATTACGCTCATCCCTGATGGGGTTGCAAGGGGTGCTGGTGCCTAACTATGAATGGGCGAGAGGCGAGGTACACCCTGGACAGGTCGTCAGTCCATCAGGGGCAACACAGGGACAAACAACCATTCATGCACACACTCACACCTAAGGAGAATTTAGAGAAGCCAATTAACCCAACAGTTATGTTTTTGGACTGTGAGAGGAAGCCGGAGTACCCGGAGAGAACCCATGCACAGGGGGAACATGCAAACCCCGGGTCTGGCTTTGCTCCCTAAGCAATAGGTTAAATGCAGAAGACACATTTCATTGTTATGTACAACTTCAAAGACAAAGACCCCGGGCCAGGAATTAAACCAGGAACCCCAGTCAGCCTCGGCAAATGGCTGCTGACGCTGAGCCTGGTTCTTCTGGAGGTTTCTTCCTGTTAAAAGGGAGTTTTTCCTCTCCACTGTTGCTACAAGCATGCTAAGTGTGAGGGATTGCCTTTGAGTCAATGAGTCGATGCAATCAACTGGTTTTCCTTAGATAGAAAACTTTGAATCAATTTGACTGTATGATCTCGTGAACTGTAAAGTGTCTTAAGATGACATGTGTTGTTAATTGGCGCTGTAGAAATAAACTGAATTGAACCTTCTTGCTACAAGTCAGTAGTGCTACCCACTGCTACATTGTGCAGCAGCTTAATTAAAATCAGATAGAATGAGGAATTTAATGGAGTCTAGACAATTAGAAGTATCTGGGTAGCTAAACATAAACTTGAATTGAGTGACAACAGCACATGGAGACACAGAGGAGACTCCACCTGCTGAGGAGACTGAGATGTTTTATAGTGCAGGTGGCACTTGTGGTGGCACCCGCCATCTGTACTTTGTTGAAGCAGCAGCTTATCTGCAGCTGGCAGGAAGCTCTGAAATAGCAATTTCTGCTCAGCTCCAAATAAAGGTTGGAAACCCCAGAAGTAAGATGAGAGTATGGAAGGATTTAGCAGAAACAGGTCTCTCTACCTTGATATATGTTTTATGTTTTTGTAGCTACAGGCTAGGTGACAGAATATTAGAGACTTGATTTATCTAAAATAGGCTCATTAAGGAACCATATGATCATATGATTCTCCTTGACCCAGTGCAAGTGGTGGGATACAGAGGAACTGGTTACAGTAACATCATAGAGGGATCATGTCTTTCATCCTATGCAGCAGTTCTTAAACTGGAGCGATCCTTTAGTGAAAGACTGATACTTGCTTCCAGCAGCTCTTAAACTTTATAACCATCACTGCTCCAAACAAGGTCAACATTTGATTGTATCTCTGCATGATTTTTTGTTTTTATTTTTCATTTACTATTTATATAACTCTATTCATCTAGTTTTTAAAAAAAAACATACATATGCAATTTCAGTGCCTCATCTGGGTCCTTGCAAACCCAAAACAGGCTTAAATCGGAGGCCGCCCAACTTTCAAAACCTTGAAAATGATTTCGGCTTGTTTTGTGGTCGTTTATAAAATCTTTTAAACCTTTCCATATATTTATATTTTTTTAATTTCCAGGACTTCGATATGTTTTTCAACTTCGCAGTGCTCATAAATAAAGTAGGCTTGACTTCTGCAAGGGAATGCTAATGGTCCATTTAGAGTTTAGATTAATCAAACAGGAAGATACAACAGAACCTTATTGCCTATTAAAAGAGTTTCAAAAACTGAAAGGGAATTATTAGGCATGTTCTAGCTGCAAATCTCAAAACAGCTGCATTTGTCATCTGTAATACAAGTTGATAATAATGTATTCTTCTACATCTCATTTGTTAAAGTAGTGAAAAAACTTACAGACCCCATCGGGCCATGACAGAGATGTCATTCAACTACTTGTAAGTCGAGGTATAATTTAAAATACAAAATTACAACAAGTTGAAAAAACAACCCTCCCTCTGTTGCCTTGGTGATCTTTCTCAGTCTACGGGTGATAGGCGGGGTACACCCTGGACAAGTCACCAGTCGCAGGCCAGCACAGAGATAGACAAAGATGTACAACACTCACTCCCAACTAAGGACAATTTAAAGATAATTCACCTAACAGTCATGTGATAGGAAGCAGGAGTACCCAGAAAACCCACGCATGCAACATGCAAACTCTGTGCAGAAAAACTGGAGCATTAAAACCTTTTAAAGTGGATATAGAAAAAGGATATCACTTTACTAACCTGGGTATGGAATACCTCCATAGGTGATAATCTCAAAGAGCAAAATTCCAAAAGACCACACGTCTGACTTGTTGGAGTACATCCCATGGCTGATGGCTTCAGGTGCACACCATTTGTAGGGAATTTTTTTATCTTCCGAGATGTAAAATGGCTCCTAAATGAAATGTTTTGATCTTTAAAGCTGCAAATTAGATTTAACCACAAACCAGACAATAAGAAAACATAGATTCTGGCCTAACAGACCTTGATGACACGTGCCAGCCCAAAGTCAGCCACCTTGCAGATGTAGTCGTCTCCAACAAGAACATTTCGAGCTGCCAGATCTCTGTGGATGCTATTCTGTTCTTCCAAGTAAGACATCCCATCAGCCACCTGGGTAGCCATATCGACCAGCGATGCAATGTCCTGATTTTTTCCTTCAGGTCCTGAGAATAGAAATAGAAAAAAAAAGAACAATGTCTGACACAGCAAGACATGTTTAACATAGTATACAGGTTTCACAGCATCCTTCTGGTGGACTGAGTAAGGAAGGGTAAAAAACCTTTTTAATCTAATTATATTATATTATATTTTAGTGGCATCATCTTACACTGGAAGATAAAACAAAATACAGAAAAATCTCACATTAAGATATAAACAAACCCTGTTCTAGAGAACAGAACACTGAATTATTTACCCTTAATAGACCATTGGAGTCACCCTGTATATGGGTGATTTTCCTTTACAACTGAGCACTACTGCATTATGGTTAGGGGGTCGATAGCAAGCAAAAGCTACCATATATATGTAGCACATATAAAAGGCAAGAATGGAAGAGCTTCTGCACAAATTGTGGCTTTATTCAGACACAGTAAAAGAAGAGAGCCAAAGAAAGCGGAGGATGGGAAGACCAACCACTCTGGATTAGTCAAGGAACAAAAGGGAAGTCCTGACTTATTTTTATATGCACAAAAATTGGTTGAAATGTACTCAAACTCAAAAGCAAAAAATATTCAAATTGTACCAAATATATTGGCCAAAAAAAATTTGATCATGATGTGTCTTTATATAATCATTTTAATCCAGATGCTCTGGAAACCTTGTAAAGAGTTAATGGTAACCATGGACTTTTGAAAATAACAACATATTTTAAATAAAAATCTGCAATAAAAAGTAAAAGAAAATGAAAGTGGGTCTTTATTGGATTTTACCAAAGGAAAAAACAAAGGATCAAATCTAAACCAATTGAAATAAAATCAGCCGTGTTCCATGACTCAGTCCCTCAGACATAAACCCAACAAAAAAAAAAAAAATTAAGAGAGACTAAACAGTCCATAATAGGTGCTGCAGAGTGAATTTGATCCCTGTCCCTGCTTGGTCCAGCTATTATTAAAAAAAATCATGGAACAAATACTATAACATCCTTGTTTTAATCTACCGTTAGAAAAAGAAATAAGAAAGAAGGGTAGTCTAATATTTTTTCCATGACTGTTTACTCTCATCTTTTTTTAAGAATCACAAAACATTATTTTCCTTGTTCTCACGAAACACTAAAGTTTACCTCTGAGAAATTCAAGTAAACTGCCTTTCGCCATCAGCTCTGTGATGATGAAATACGGCTCTGACTCGGTGCAAACAGCGAACAGAGAGATGAGGTGGCGATGATGCAGTCTCTTCAGGATTTCAACTTCAGTTTGAAATTCTTTGTTGTCCAAAGAGTCTGGTGAAAAACAGACACAGTTTAAAGAAAGAACTGTAAACAGATTAAAAAAAGGAAGAGAGGAGTTACAGGAATAAACTACACTTTCTTCCCTGGTAATAACTTGACTTAGGTTTGTTCTTCTTTCAGTTCTTCTTTGTAATATTTGGTAAAACTGTGGCTGGCGATCTGCTTTGGCAGAGCAGATCTAAAAACTGAAAATAATATCTACAATTTTTAACAGGGTGCAAACGCTAAAAAATACACTGAACTTTTTTGTTTAAATTTGTTTCTACATAATACCTTTTTTTTTCTCAGGAATACAGCAGTTACTCTAAATAGAGACTATAAAGGCATGAGAGTGTTTTATGTTCTGCATCAACAAAACTCAGGATTATGTCTTCTGAGTTTACTTTTTTTATTTTCTTTAAACCCTGGGTCTGTTTTCTGTATTTTTTACAATAACTGTACATTAAGTTATAAAGGATAAATAGTTTTTAAGAATATCTAAACATCTACCAGAGAGAGAGACCCAAGACTTATAAGGGATTAAGCCTTTGCTTTGTTCAGACACAGCATATTAGAGTTATGGCAAATCGTTAAACTCGATGCCTCAGCATAACCTTCTCATGCTGATTGTAGCCTTGGATTTCAGAACTCTGTCAGACCATATTTAATGCAGGAATGAGCACCATCCTATGAGTGTAAGTATGACATCGGTGCTCGTTTTTCTCAGGGATCTCACAGGCTGCAGGAATTTTTCTACAGTACACATCAAAGTAGGTTGCTGTGCCTCAACCATCAGTTTCAGTCCTACTTTGCTGGAGCAACACCTGTATCAGCAGGATAGAGACGCAGGTAAGGTTCTCTTAACGGTGGACACCACCAGTGTGTCACCCCTACATGTTCTAATAGTATGAGGTGCAGTCAGAAGGGAGCTTGCACACAACATAACATAAAAACAACTGTTTGAGTAATCAGCAAGAATTTGCCATTGAAATACTTAAGAGTCAGTTGTATTTTAATCTCACTGCAAAAGTCCCAAATAACAACTTTTGGTTTTTTGGTTTTGACTTTGCTCTCTATTCAGTCTCTTTCTAATTGGTATTCCCCCCATCTTCATTGTACATAACGCTGAATGTAATGCCAGGTTCTTGTTTTGTTGAATGCCTTATAGAAGTTGATGCAGTTAAGATTTTGTCTGAAAATTACGTTTGGATCTAAAAACAGAAACTTCGGTTTCCCAGCAACCAGCACAGCCTAGCATGGATTTATGATGTTTGCACCCTTCTGTGTATTTGCTGAGGGGCCTTACAAGGACAAGGGTAGCTGCAGTCAACTGGGGAGATTAATATGAGAAAAATGGAGAAATGGCAGGTGCACTGCGAAGAGTAGGCACTGTCGACACCTTTTCCCTTGGCACAGAGATACTAACTTCTGACTCTTACTGAGGGTTTTTAAAAACCTGAACATCTATTAGACAATGCAGCTAATGTTTATGTGTTCATTACAACTTAATAATCCTTTTGTGAAGAGGGAAAAACTAATAACAGACTGACAATGGTTTGTATTTCCCCAGGATAAATAAGGAAAGCGAGATGTTATTTTTTAGGGTGTTGATAAAAAGGTACTACATTAAGGCATGAGAAACCTCTATACTCAACATCATCTAATAATCAGATAGCATTTCCTGAAACCGGATAGAGTTGATCATTTTTTGTAGATGGAGTACCATTTTTCAGGATCTTAATGGCAACATTGATGTGGTTCTTCCAGCGGCCCCGATAGACCTGAGAGAAGCAGCCAGAGCCGAGCTTGTCCAACATGGTGAACTCATTTTTTGGCAGAACCCAACCATCCAGCAAGTGGTTGATATCCTCAGTGTTTGGCTTTACCTGATGCAGGAAACACAGGTAAGATATTTTATGTGACACTCAAAGTCCCAATGCAAACATTATTGCTTTATTTAATATCTCCTTCTTACCCTCTTGCACGGACTTCCCAGGGAGGGGATGTTATTGAGGCTGTTGTTACAGTAGTGGTCTACCAGGTCAACCAGAGAACTGAACCGATGATTTTGTTCCACGTAAAAAGACTCATTTACATGGAAAATCTTAAAATGCCTCACCTGACTGTTGGATTTCACTGCAGAAAGAGTTACACATGATCAGACAAAAAGCAGAAGTGGGAAGAATTGAAAATTGAAAAAAATTAGGATCTGAAAATAAAAGTATTTTCTAAAGGAGATGGCAAAGAGGAAAGAGAGACTCTGGCCTTGAGGGTGCAGTGCCTGATTTAACACATCTAGCTTAATGATCTTTTATAAAGAGGTTCGTATTGCTTCAGTACAAAAACAACTACTGAAACATTCAAGAAAGCATAGCAAAGTTTGGATCTGCTGAGCCCAGGCTATAACCAGCCTCTCCCTGATGAATGGATGTGAAAACAGCATCAACCAGAATACAGCCAAACTTTAAGAAATCTAATGAAATGATCCTCTTTTAACCCCATTACTATTACTTTTGCTTTGTGCATCAGTACTCTTTGTTCTCATACCTGAAAGAACGTATCCAACCTTGTCTCTCTCGCTTTGGCGCACAAGGAACGACGCCTCATTATTTGTCGGGTCCATCAAGTGGTTTTGGGCTTCAAAGCGACTCATTATCCCATAAAACCATCTAGATGGAGAAAATAGATGGTTATTGTCTGGAAAATAGAGCTGTTGATAATAAAATAAAATTATCTTGGATTAGAATACACAAAACTGAGAACTTTTCAAGATGTTAGCTATCTTAGATGCTTTAGATAAAATAAATTAATGATTTAACAACGAGCAAGAGACAAAGTACTATCCAGGAGAGAAAGTATTCTCATGTTCTCCATGGTATTTGGAACATATTTAGACTGAACGAGCAAAAGCTGACATTTTTTAAAGTTGTGCTTCCCATTTCACATAACCTGAAACTAACAAAACATTAACAGACATGAAAATGGTAGTCCAATGCTGCTTAAGGAGCTAGACAGCTTGCTGAAAAATCAACCTTCACTCTGAGGCATTAATCTCAAGCAAAAATAGGTTATGGAGCAGGACAGCGATCTTAATCACATGAATGCTGCCCACCCAACAAGACAAAAAGAGGGATTTCAATTGGCCAAGTCAAAGTTCACATTAAAATCCAACTGACATGCAACTGTGACATTAAATTGTTAAACCAGATTAGACAAGAATTAATCTGAACTGAACGTCTTTATTGCCAAAGCCCAAAAGCAATGGAACTAAAAGTGCAGAAGTCAAGGTGCACGAACAATAATAAACAATAGATAAGCCAAACATAAAGCAATACATCAATCAATAAAACACAAAATACTGAGCAATCTAACAATAGTCAGAATAGCTGTTGAAGTGCCTGTCCAGAGTTTAGTGCATATTTGGCCCTAGTGCAAAGAAATAATCTAGAAAGCCCTAAAGATCAAGTAGAAAGAGCTGGAAAATGTTACTTTTATTGTCTTTTCTTCCTGAATGTGTTATCGCCCTGAACTGATTTCCCCCAAGTCTGGGATGATAAAGATATGGACATGTTTTGGAAACATTTGAACAAAAAGGCTTCAGCTGACCTACTGTAGGGGGGCTGATGTTGAATTATCTAAGATAGATCAAATGTGTATCAATAGTAAAAACCTGAAAATCAAAAAAAAAAGAAAAAAAAAGAAAAGACACACTCAATAGAACAAAAAAGGCTATTGCATTTCTGACTTTAATCTCTGATTTCTGACTGTATTTGTATAAGTATTCCTTTAATCTGAGAATTCTTGAAAAGTCTGACTTTAGTCTCTGAATTTTGACTTTATTAGAATTATTTACCCTGAATAACTCAGACTTTCATCTCAGAAACTCCTGAGATTGAAGGCAGAATGTCAAAAAAGAAGGGCTTTAATGGCCTTAAACTTCTTCCAAAGAAATTACCAGAAGTTAAACTTCCTTTTACAAGTCTTGGATGTGGTATCAATCATTTCAATTTTAACTTTAGCATGCGTCGACACCAACTAGACTGGTATTTGTTACCAATAACCAGTTAAGCAAAATTTCTCAACCTTTTGAAGGAACACTGTTTGTTCCTGCTTTCATCTGGGAAAACCCACGTCACACAATCCCATTCTGCTTCAACAATGAGCCGTGAGAGAAACCAATGTGACACAAAAGCAGTGGTGATTATCAGAGTCGTGGTGCTGATGTCTTTGCTTGCTTGACTGCTGAGAAATGCATCAGATAGTAATCACGCTGCTATGCAAGCCGTGAAAGGTATTTCTTACAGGTAGTTTTTACAGGAAGTTGGAGGAAATACATCTTCGATAAAAAAGAAAGAAAGTTTGTCATGTAAAAGTAAAGTCAAATCAGATATTATGTAGAAAGAGAAATGGATTAGTGTGTTATCCCAGTTGATGCATTTAACCATCTATGACCTGAATTCACTGGTTGAGAACAATGAGATAAGAAGTGAAACAAAAATATAATTCCTGATAGCTTCTAGAAATAAACTGCTCATCCAGGTCAGGTCAAAGGAAAACTTTCACTGTTAAGGGTTTCTGGTCTAATGCTTGGGAAAGTACCTGAAAAAAATAAAAAATAAAAACAGAGGAAATGCTCAAATCTACTAAAAGACTAAAAGAAGTAAAGCTATTTAAAACTTACAGTTCATGACTATTTCCCTTTACACTGGAATAACGTAAAAGTGTTACGTAAAAGTTATTTTATTAATCCCATTCAAAAAGTTATCCTCATATTTATATTCATTACAGAGAGTTATATATTTTTAATTTGATTTTCGTGGGCAGTTGATGATTTCAGCTTATAGAGCAAATAAAAACAGCTAATATTACATATGAGGATTAATGTTATATTGTGGTCAGGTTACACATTCATGGGAAAGATTGCTGACTTGTCTGCAGACAGCTATCCTGCAGTCAGTGGTCAAAATCCACCACGAGGAGGTAGATCACATAAAAAAATGTTCTGATGCCAAAGTTCAGTAGAAGCAAGAGGTGTGGTGGAAAAAGGTAAACATTTTGTAACAAAGCATACAACTTTAAAAAGGAGTGGACTAAAGTTTTTGTCTGTTCTTCAAGAATAGATGGATCCTCAACATGGGCTACAACTGGTTTATTCCCTTTGTTTACCACACAGAGCGCAGAGAAACTTCTTATCTGGGTAAAGAAAAATGGACTGTTGCCCAGTGGTTTGAAGTTTCTTTTTCAGAGCAAAGTCCAGTTTGCATCTAATTTTAATAAAGTCTGGTGTAGAAAAAGACAGATTTATGGGGCTGATTTTAGTGTCTGGCTCATTAATCGACATCGGCCAAAATGTGGCCGATATAAAATCTGTATTTTTGCAGCAAACTTTACCCGGTGTTCCGTCAGCTAAGCATACCGCCTCAGACCAGCATACCCTTATGTAATACGCATGCGGGCGCATGATCGTTATTAGCGGATCGTTATTATGACTACAGTATAATAAGGCCAATTAACCTACATGCTGCTTGTTATTAGCGGTTATCAGTCCCATAGAATGGCTTCAGATTGTGCCAGTAGGCTATTATCACAGAGTGAATCCTAATCCTAAATTAATTCCTTTCCATTCCAGTGGAATTAACTAATCTATTTAGGTGTAATCTAAAAAATAATGTCAGTAGATCTTTGTGTACTCTAAATGTAAATAAATAAAAACAAAATGTGCTGCATGTCGCTCATATGAAACAAACTACAAACAAATATATTTCATCATATCAACTAAGTTGTAGAATCTTCTCCCTATAAATATTTAATTCTCTGTGAAAAAAATGCAAATGATTCATTAATAAGATCCTCCTCAAACTGACATGCAATGTTTTTTTTTTTAAAGCTATTGTGTGTGGTGGACCTAGTAAAGGACTTTCTTGTACTTTTATGCACAAAACTATGACAAAAACCTGTCTTAATCGGGAAATAGTTGGATGATTGGATGCAAGGAGGCAGAGGAAACTCTATGTTATGTGTTTTACAAAGGGTATGCTGGCCTGACGCTGTATGCTGAGCTGACAGAACAACGGGTTCTTATTCTGCTCCTCTGCCCCTCCAGTCAGATAGCTCTCTCTGCACCACCCCTCCCTGCAAACACATAGGCTCACAGCTGCTGCTCGCATAAGCATGGAGTTGGATAAAGAGCGAGAAAGTATGCAGTTTACTCCATGGTAAACTGGGATTTTGTAAAACTACACTTTAATGCCCCAGAACAACAAACATCCTCATGGAAACACACTGTTACGACACGTTAAGCAGAGTTGACGATTTTTGTATGTGCTAGTTTTGACAAATATATTAGTATTTTAGCTCTATGAAATAAACAGTTTTTCCTGGTTAAATAAAGGTTAAATAAAAAAAAAATAAAACAGTTTTAGAAGGAAAATAAGATTATTATATTGTGATCCACTACACATCATGCTGACATTAGGGCTGAGTATTGGCATGGGTGTTGCAATATGATACGTGTCTCGATATTTGGCTCATAATACGATATTATTATGATATTGCAATATCACGATATATTGTGATATTTTTCCAGCTATCAAAATTAAATGTAAAATAAAAAAGAAAGTGCTGTTTATGTTAATCAGAATATATTGATCATTTTGTTATTTTGGTATCCATGTTCGGGGTTTGAGTCAGTCCACGTCTTCAACTGTGAACGCATCAACTACAGATAAGGCGGTGCAGAGGTAGCCCATTTTTCCTCATTGTTTTACGTTATTTTTTTTATTTTTTTTATCGATACTAGGAACTAAAAAAATCAATATTATATTGAGCGCCAAAAATCATAATATATCGCCAAACTGAAATGCAGGCTGTACTGGGGCTCATTAATTCAAATTTGTATTGTTTTGCATTAAATTTTTAAAATGCTCCAACTTAGTTATTTAGTTTCAATCCCATTTAGATGTTTGTTTTAAAAGCTGCAGCATTCCTACTTAAATTTGGTTCGGTCTCCTGCGTTCAGTGGGAGGGAGCTCTTTTAGTTGCTTGTAAATATGACAAACTTACATTTCCAAGGTGTTTTTGTGAATTGGGCTTTTAAAAATGAATCAGATACAAAACACTTCCCATGAGCCTGTGTGTTTTCACTTTAGACTGTATGCAGTCATGTGTTTTCATTTTTAAATGCTTATCTGTAGAAGTCAAATCTAATTAGCAAAATACACTTAATGTAATTATATTAATTTCTCAGGCAGCGGGAAACAGTCAGTTGTAGACCCTCGACATGAAGTATGTAACAGCTGTTGAATGCAGCATCTGCAGAGTTACATTAGTCAGGGCTGCAGCACCAGTATGAAGAAAAACTTGATGAATTTAAGACAATATCTAATCAGCACTACAACAATTGATTGTATTTATAGTTGTATGTTGACACTGCTCAAATTAAAGTTGCTTATTTTAATTCTGTATGTTCTGTTTCTTTGCGCTGAATCATATTTATGAGAATTTATAGTTGGACTATAGTTGAACAGTGCATATCCCAGGTTCAGTTTTTTCTTTTGGTCAAAATCTATCTGATATCAGCCAATACGTTGCATTTTTTTTTTAAAGGCCCAATATGAATATCGGTTGGGCTCTAGTCTAGAGGAAGAATGAAAAAGCGGAGGATTCCATTTGCTTCAGGTCTAGAAAAACCAAGCAGCTCAAACATACAAATAATTTGACTATTTAAAAACTATAATCTGAGTTTCCATAATTTCCCCATTGTGGGACTATAAAGGGAATTTCTATTCTATTCTATTGTATTCTATTCTATCCTTTTTTATTCTATTCTATTCTAGGCCTGAAGAACAAAAACAAACAAAAACAAAATGTCAGTTATAAGATTAAAAACCACGCAGTGCATCGTATTTAATAACCTTGATCTGTTAAATGAGCCCATGCATTAATCTGCTTCTCAGTCTCAGATTATTCTTTTCCCTGTTTATCCAAATAAGCAGTTAGCTGATCTCTTGCTCTTTCACAAGTACAGTGCGACGAAATTCACTCTCTTTATTCAACCTATCCCTTTGGGGAGCAGCGGGCTGCCATTTGTGGCGTTAAGGGTCTTTGCTCAGGGACCCAGAGTGGCAATCGGTTTCGAACTCACAACTTTAGTGTTCCAAGATTCCCATTCTCCCATTCATCTGAACCAGAAAATACTTTAAAAAACAGTGCATTGTCAAGAGAAGGGTGAGAAACACTAGATATAAACCTTTCAGACCATCTGAGAACCACGGTTACAGCATTCTAAGCCTCATTTACGTCATCAAAGCTGCACTTTAGAAATTCATGAAAAGGAACCCTGAATAAATGCAGTGTATGCCAATGGACAATTGCTTTAGCATTTCTGTATCAAAAACATTTTATGCACAATTTTGTTATTTTATGAAACTGTTTTTAGGGTTTTCATTAGCTGTACGATAAAATAATCCTAAAGAAATATAATAAACTTTTAAAAATGCATGTAATAAAGAAGACTGCTCTGTATATTTACTGAACCAAATCCACTTTTTAGTGCCACCCTACTGAGATAAACATGAGCAATCTGTTTTATTTACGGTAATAGCCAATAATTAGCATACTATCATAAAGTTCAGCTTTTCATAACTCTATTCATTAAGTGAAACATTATACAGAGGGATTACAGGGAATTAGCTTGTGGCCCTTTTTTGGCACTTATGGTATCTTTTCACTTACAGCTAATTAGAAACATTACATTTTAGACAAGGATATTACATCAGACCAATAAAGACAACATTAGTTTGGTAAAAAAGGAATTTCATTTGAGTAAATGATCTAAACAGATGAAACGTTTAAGATTTTAACAGTTCCCACCGTCTATATCACACTGCCAGCCTACTTCCTTGTAACAGGACTCTGTATTATGACCATAGGGAACTTGGTTTAAGTTTAGTTTCAGGACTTTGTCACTGCAGCTGCATCTCATGGTCTAGTATGTCATTGAGGCCCCTTTGCAGTAGCCTCAGATCTTTGGAGTATTTCTCTACAAGCTTAGTTCTTCTGATTTGGGTTTTTCTGGTAATTTCTCTTTTACTCCAGATCTTCTCCAACTCAACTGGCGGAGCAACATCAGTGGATAGACATTTCTAGTTCTCTCCAGAGTTGATCAGTTGGATTTAAATGCAAACTCTGGCTTGGAGCTGTAAGAGATATTTTACAGACCGTACTGAGGCTACTGTCTTAGCTATGTGAGCTGGGTCCACCTTGGTCTAGGTTGTATTTTCCTGAGTGGATTTTTATCTAGAATCTCTCTATTATTGTCTCTCAAAATATCTACAATCAAATTTGTTTATTTTTTTTTATTCAGTTGAAACTCTTTTTTTCTGTATTTATTATTTCAGTTAAATTTAAGACATTTAATTCTGCCTAATAACCAAGACAAGGATACCCGTCTGTCTCATTTTAGACAGTGATAGATAATTCTTGGAAAAGCAGCAGCAGGTGCAGATCCGGTCCAAAAATCTTCAGCGAAAAATGCATTCTACCCCCACATGTCCACTGTCCTCCTTCCGCTTTTTTTTATTCCTGAAGAATTTTATATATATATATATATATATATATATATATATATATATATATATATATATATATATATATATA